CTGATGCACCTTAGGGGGTAGCCGCCCAGCGGATTGCGGGGATGTGGCGACGACGGTCGACGGCCACGACCACGACGACGACGACGAGGAAGGGGGCCGCCGCTGCCGGTCCCTCGTCGCCACCGTCACCGTCGTCGTCTCAGCGTGGTGCTGCTCTCTCCGCCGCCTACGACGGAGGAGGGAGGGGAAGTTCTGGTTGCTTTTCGATGCTCGGTTTTCGGCCTCCAGGTGGCGTTCCTGGGCCCTGGTAGGGAATCGATCCCGTCCGGGGTGAAACAAATACTGGATGGATGGGCGCGTCTCAAGCGGACTGCACTACGCGTGATTCATCTGAGTCGTGCGCTGTCTTTCGGGCTGCACGCAGGCACTGGGACGCACGGGGGATTGCGATGTACGTTTCCTCTGGGTCGTGCGGGAAGTTGATGATCAAGAGATGGAGGATGTGTGCTTCCTCTGGGTCGTGCTTTGGCACGTATCCACTGGGATGCACGGAAAATAATAGATGATGATGGTGATGATGGTGATGAATCTGATGACTGTGATGATGGTGATGGTGATGGTGACGATGATGATTATGAAGGTGATGATGATGAGGGCGAGGAGGAGGATGAGGAGCGGGAGGGGGAGGAGGAGGAGGAGGAGGAGGAGGAGGAGGAGGAGGAAGAGGAGGAGGATGATGAGGAGGAGGATGAAGACGAGCTGGGACGCACGGGGAAAATATGAGAATGAACGTGTGTGTGTGTGTGTGTGTGTGTGTGTGTTTTTCCAGGTCGTGCTCCAGCACGTATCATCTAGGACGCATCTTTTTTGTCTGACCGAATCTGGGTTCCACATTCGGCAACTTCGGCCGAAGTGGTTCCCAACCATCCTGTGGTGTTGGGTCCTCGCTTTGATAAAACAACATCCCGCGTCACCTTCCTCCTCTCCCCCTTTCCTTCCTCTCCTCCTTGCTCTTTGCATGTCCTGACACTTCCTCTGCCTCCATAAGAAGAAAAAGGGCTCCACCGAAGGCCCCTGGTCCGCATGGCGCACCGGCACCCGAGTCGGCGCACCCGTCGCATGTTTCGTGGCCCGGTAAGAAGCTCCACCGAAAACCCCAACAGCAGGGTCCGCATGGCGTACACGCACCCGACTTTGCACACCACTTAGGGAACTGCACCGAAAGCCCCGACGGCAAGTTCCGCATGTCGTACCCGCACCCGATTCGGCACACCCCTCACACGTTTCGTCGCCCCATAACCAGCCCCGCCGAAAGCACCAACACCAGGGCACGCATGGCGTATCCGAAACCGATCCGGCACACCGTTCGCGCGTTTCGTGGCCCCGTAAGGAGCTCCACCGAAGGGTTCTCCGAGGGCGGGAGATTCTGGGTTGGCGGTCTGGGGCCCGCGCCGCGGCGGTATTTCGCGCTCCCGCCTCGGCGCCGCGCATCTTTTTCAAACGCGGTGTTTTCGCCTCTGCCAGATGGCAATTCGAGCCCCGTTGGGACTGCAGAGGTCGGCGGGGCCTGCGCGCGGCGTCTACCGTCACCGTCGGGGTCGGCAGGGCCTGCGCGCAGCGCCCGCCGTCTCGTAGGAATTCCTTGTATATATATTCCTCACGAGTGATTCCTTAGTAATAATTCCTCCGTAAATATTCCTTAATCAGGATTCCATGATGCAGATCCCTTCGAACATATTCATGAATCACGAATCCTTCGTAAGAATTGCTTGATGAAGCTTCTGCAATCAAGATGCCTTAATCGAGGTTCATGAATTTAGATTCATCGGTAATGGTTCCTCACTGACGATCAAGGGCGCCGTAATCAAAATTCCTTACTACGGGTTCCTTAACACATATTCTTTAAAACTGATTCCAGCATGCATATTCGTTCATACAGATTCCTTCGTGCATGTTCCTTAATGCAACTTCCTTGCAAAAAGATTCCTCAATGAGGATTCATCCGTGAGTATTCCTTATAGTGAGAATTCTTCCATGCACGTTCATCACCGAGGATTCCTCAGGGTTCATACATGATCCCATAATGCATATTCCTTTCTAAGGACCCCCTAATGATAATTCCACCGCATGGGTTTATTGGTACAGTTTCCAGACTAAGGATTCCTGGGTGAGGATTCCTGGGCGATGATTCCTTTATGCGCAGTCCTCAATGCAGATCCCTTAATGAGATTCCCTAGCACAGCTATTGCGAGATATTCCTTCTCAAATATCCTCTAGTGCAAGTTTCTTGGTGCAGGGTTCTTGATGCAGGTTGCTGCAATACATATTCCTAACAGCGACTTTGTAATAAGCACCCCTTAGTGCATATTCCTTGCTAAGGATCCCTTGGTAATGGTTCCGGAGTAAGGATTCTTCAATAAAACGCCTTTGCCAAGGATCGCTCTGTAAATATTCTCTCGTACATATTTCTGGTTGAATTCTCCTTGGTAAATCGTCCTGTCTACGGATTCCTTCGTGAAGCTTCCTTACTACGAACTCTTCTGTAAACATTATTAAGGACCCATAAATCACGATTCCTGATTAAGGCTCCCGCAAAACTCCCGACGAAGGGTCTCTTATAACAGATTCCTTATCTAGGAGCCCTCAACAACGATTTCTGCTGCGGAGCCCCCCATGGGGATTCCTCGCTAACTTCGATTGCAAAACGGATGAGATTTCTGTTGTTCTATAACATTCTTTAGTAAGGATTCCGAGTGAAGGTTCCTCAGCCAGGGTTCCCCAGTGATGGTTATGCAATCAAGGGTCCTTAGTCATGTGAAGACTGTTCATTGCCAAGCAGCGCCTCAATATGCCAGGCAATGGCAAGAGCAGGACCACCCATTGCCTAGCACCACCAACCACGACCCACCAATTCAAGGCAATGCCAAGCACGACCAACCAACGCTGCTAACGTCAAACAAGTGCCAAGCAGCGCTATGGATCACCAAACAATTCCAAACCAAACAACGCCAAGCACGACCAACCAATGCCAAACACGACCATCCAATACCAAGCATGTCCTACACGTGCCAGGCAATGGCAAGAGCGGGGGCACACATTGCCAATCACCGCCAAACATGACCAACCAATGCCAAGCGATGATAAGCACGCCCATTCACTGTCATGCGCGACCAATCAACGCCAAGCATGATCAACCAATGCCACACAATGCCAAGCGCGATTGTTCAATGTCACGCGCGACCAAACCGTCTCGACTAGTCAATACCACGCGCAAGCGCGCAATGCTGAGAAATGCCAAGCACGAGTAGACAGTGCGAAATAAAGCCGGCCCGACCATTCAATGCCAAACGCAACCAAGCAACGCAAAGCACAACCAACCAAGGCCAAGCAGGAACACTCGATTGCAAGCAGCTCCAAGCATGACCAACGAATGCCAAGCAATGCCGAGCATCGCATCAGCAGTGGAACATCCCCACAATATACAGGGCATCGTACTGGGGTTATTCCACAGGAGTCACCAGTCTGAAACAATCGCTGTCAGGGCCGCCGCCCTTTCCTCCCTCTCCCGCTCCCTCCCCTCCTCTCACCTCTACCGCACCGCTCCCGCGCCTTGTTCACTCTCTCTCTCTGTCTCTCTGGCTCTCTCTCTCTCTCTCTCCCTCTCTCTCTCTCTTTTTCTCTCTTTCCGACCCTCCCTCCCTCCCTCTCTCTCTCTCTCCCGCTCTCTATCAATATACCAGGCCTTCCTTCTCACCCTCACCCGCGCTGCAACGCGCATCTCGCAAGTCAATCGTGCCGCGCGTCGGCCCCCAAAACCGCCACCCCAGAATTCCCCCGTTCTCCCATCGGTAGGGTCCGCGTGGCGCATCCGCACCTGTTTTGGTACACCCCTAGCGCGTTTTGTGGTCCCAGGCCCCAGTGGCAAACGTTCGCATGGCATACCCGTACTCGATTCGGCGCACCACCCACACAGTCCGTGGCCTCGTGGCGAATTCCACCTAAAGCCCCAAGGCCAGGGCCCGCATGGCGTAAGCGACCCGACTCGGCACGCCCCTCGCGCGTTTCGTGGTCCCAGAAGAACCCACCCAAAAGTCCAAGCGGCACACCGCGCACACGTTTCGTGGGCCCCAACGGCAAGGTCCGCATGGCGTGCCCGCGCCCGATCCGGCACAACATTCACATACGTCGTAACCCCGTGGGGAAATCTTTCGAACGTTCCAGCGACAAGTTCCGCGCGGCGCACCCGCGCCCGATTCGGTGCACCTTCCGCGCGTTTCGTACCCCGTTGGGAGCGCCAGAACCCCCACCAGCACGGTTCGCATGGCGCACCCGCATTCGATTCGACACACCCCTCACACATTCCGTGGCCCCACAGGAGCCCAATCGAAGGCCCCAGCGGCAGCGCTCGCATGTCTTACCCGCGCCAAGTTCGGCGCACCCCTCACGCGTTTCGTGGGCCCGTGGCGAAGTCCACTGGAAGCCTTAACGGCGAAGTCCGCATGGTGTACCTGCATTCGTTTCGGCGCACCCCGAGAACGCCCTGCGACGCGCGCTGGTTGCCCTGGAGGAATTCGAGCGACGCGCGCGGGTCGTCCGCGGCGCGTGGTCAGAAATATCGGGTGGCTGACAAAGGGCGATGCGCTGGGCAGTGCGCGCGGGAGTCGGGCAACACTTGGAGGCATAGCGCAGGGGAGTGCCCGCGACGCGCGCTGGTGGCCCCGGGAGGATTCCAGCGACGCGCGCAGGTCGTCCGCAGCGTGAGGCCATGCAGTTGGGCATTCGGCAGAGGGCGAGACTCGGGCGGGCCGTTCGTCAGGTCAGGCATCGCGGATAGCCCCCGGTGAAACCGAGCTCGTTGGCGAGGCCGTCGCCGAACTAAGATCCTCCGTTCGCCCGTGTGTGCTTTTCTCCCAACCCACGCCTCAGTCCTCTTGCCAGACCCCCTCCATTTTAGCTGCCTCGCGATGCTCGCGGCTGCAATTCGTTGAATCCTTCGCCACATTTCTTGTTTTATACTTTGAAGCGTCCGGCGGTCTCGGGTGGTCTCCAGCGGCTTCCGGAGGCAACATGAGAGCTCATTTGCTTGGAGAGGGCTTACTTCTTCGTCTTAGCATTGTTTGTCATTTTTCACAGCTTGCCCCCATGATTAGTATCCTCAGATGTGGTTATTGTTGTTACTCAGGCGTCTCTGGGCCTCCTCGTCCTCCTCCTCCTTCTCCTTCTCAGACTCACACACCCATACTCAGACTCACTCATACTCAGACTCTCTCCCACTCAGACGCACTCGAGTCGTATTCAGACTCACTCGCACTCTGACTCATTCAGCCAAACTCGCAATCAGACTCAATCATTCTCAGTCTCGCTCGCACTCAAACTTACTACTCATACTTAGACTCGCTGCGACTCAGAAGTCTTCCTGTCTCTGACTCAATCGCATCGCTTCCTAATTCAAACTCCCTCATACTCAGAGCCACTCACACACAGACTGAGGATGTTTCAGGCGAGGCGTCGGTTTCAACACTCCCAAGGGGGGAACGCAAGGGGAGGAAACATCCAGGATTCGCGCCCACGTTGTGGGGATGTCTCAGGCGGTTTGCAGGTGTGGGCGCCCAGCATCCTCTGCTTTCGGAGCAGATTGTGAGGATGCCTCCGGCGAGGCGCTGGTTTCATCACTCCCAACGGGGAGCCCCCAGGGGTGGGGACACTCCAGGATTCGCGCCCAGATTGTGTGGATGCCTCAGACGGTTTGCCTGTCAGGGTGCCCAGCATCCCTTGCTTTCGGAGCAGGTTATGAGGATGTCTCAGGCGAGGCGCTGGTTGCAGCAATCCCAGCCGGGAGCCGCCAGGTGAGGCGACACTCCAGGATTCGCGCCCAGAATGTGGGGATGTCCCAGGAGGCTTGCCTTTTCAGATGTCCAACATCCTTTGCTTTCAGAGCAGATTGTGAGGATGTCTCAGGTGAGGCGTTGGTTTCAACACTGTCAGGGGGGAGCTGCCAGGGGTGGGACATTCAAGATTCGCGCCCATGTTGTGGTGATGTCTGAGGCGGCTCCCCTGTTTGGGTGCCCAACATCCTCTGCTTTCAGAGCAGATTGTGAGGATGTCTCAGGTGAGGCGCTCATTTGAGCAATCCCAACGGGGAGCCGCCAGGGGTGGGGGCACTCGCACTTAAATACACTCAGACCTCTCACGCTCAAATACACTCAGACCTCTCACGCTCACACCCACACTCAGACAATTCACATTCACTCACACTCATGCGCATTGACTCGCTCACACTCACACTCACTCACACTCAGACTCATTCACACACAGACTGACCTGTTCCCAAAATCATCATGCTCAGACCCGTTCATCTGTAGACGTTGGACTCTCTCTCGCACGCAAGTGCTCGCAGCGGGAAAGGCGTGGGCAAATAGATGCACATCTGGGGATCTTCGCGTCGAACCATTATGCCGTTTTCGTCTTCGGTCCTTCGCCTCACTGCACAGCGCCGTGTCGTTGACGCCCAGCACGTGGTAGTAGTCGACGTTCGCCTCGTACTCCACGCTCCTCGGGGCGGCGAAGTCCGAGGGAGCCGGCTCGTAGGATGGGTCTCGCGCGGCCAGCTCCCTGTCCCTGGCCTCGAGACCAACGTCGAGCTCCCGCTCCACGACGAGGGCCTTGCAGCCCCTGGTGCGGGAGCAGCCTCGCTGCGCCAGCTCGGACAATCTCCTGGACTGCTCCTCCGTGCTGCCGTCCTCGGCGCCGGAGAGCCCGCGGTAGGCCTCTTTCACGCCGGCCGCGATCTTGTCGCCGCCCCTCCGGAACGCCTCCAGGCAGGCGTGGTGAGCCGCGAACGCCTTCCAGTTGAAGTTGTCGCCCGACAGCGCTTGTAGCGACCAGGGCGGATCACCCTCCTCCAGGTACGCACGGTCGCTGTAGGGGTCCAGCCGGAGCGTAAGGTTTAGAGCAGTCAGGTGGTGCATGAGCGCGCCCTCTTCACACAAGCTCTTTGTCTCCCCGAGCGCGTCGCGGAAGGCCCTGGAGTTGGGCCACGAGCGCCCCTTCTCCTCCGCCCGCGAGAAAAGGAGGCCCGCGAGACGCAGCTGGCAGATCTCGCACTCCAAGTGCTTTGCCGCCTGCGCGCGGAGGGAGGCGGCCGCGGATGTCGAGCTCTGGCTCCAGTAGGAGCTCGACCACGAGAGTCCTTCCACAAGAAACCCAACCCTGAGACCGCAGGACGTCCATTGATTTTTGGTGTGGGAGCAATACGCTTTTCCTAGGAAAACCATCGAAACCCAAGAAGCCCGGGGCACCCTGGAGGCAAGCAGGGTGTTTCTTGGCCTGGGCTTTCAACTGTACTTAGAGGCCTTGGACAAGGGCGTACATCAGCCTGGCGAGGAGCCCAATCCTCCACAACTGCGAGGATGCTCCTCTCCTCGGGAAGCGGCGGACGGAGCAGGATGTGGCAATGGGGCAGTCAAATGCAGTCTGGGTAAGTGTTCTTCTGGGTCGTATCTGAAGGCTTCAGGAAGTACGTGTGCCGACGCTGGAAGGGGTGAGGGCAAGCCAACATGAACTTGAGGAGCCAATGAGGCAACCGCACGCCATCAGCACAAGTGCTTCTTGAGATCGTTTCAGCGGGTTCGAGAAGCACTTGTGCAGACACTCGTGAGGGCGAGAGTAGACTCTCCCTCGACGACGAGGCGCCGCCATACCGATGACCTAACTGGGGCCGCAGGTGCAGCTCCCGATGGAGCACTGGGCGTGAGCCGCAGCGGGCGCGGGCACTGCATATGGACGACCTCACTGGGGCCGCAATAGTAGAAGAAGAAATCCGCATAAACATAACTAACATTTGGAGCTCCGCGCAGATTTCGTGGATCCGCGCTGGGCCCCCCTCCCTGGCGCGCGGGGCGCGCCAGGGGCCGCGCCGGAGGCGCCGGCGGGGGACCCCCAGCGTGGATCCAAGAAATCCGTGCGGAGCGCCAACAGTTTATGGTTATGGTCTTTTCTCGTCCTCGAGATCAGGGCACGAAGCACGTGATGGGTGCGCCTAACTAGCCGGGGGGGCCCTCAGGACCCCTCCCCGTCGCGGCGACGAGCCCGTTCTGGGCCCAGGTCTTGGTGGGTGCCGGCAAGACGGCGATGTCCACTCAGACCCCGGAGCCCGGCACCGGCCCTGACCGCGGGAAGGCCTGGTGGCAGACGCTTTCCAACTCCAGGCTCGGCTGCGACTGGCTGTCGGGCGAAGAGCGGAATCATAAATTTTGACGCCGTCGGGGGCGCGCCTGCGAGGGCGGCTGGGAAGCTTACACCCCGGCGTGCCCCTGTAGGAGTATAAGCTTTCTATCAGGCGCCCTGGGACAGGCGCCCCCGCTGGGGGAACAAATGTACATACCTTCTACCGTTCCTCGCTCGCTGAACTGAAGGAGAGGGCCCTGGAGGACTCGGATCATGGGCCTCGCGGCTATCCCATGCGGACCAAGAACTGCTCACCACAATCGGGTGCCTCAACGGTCCTGGGCAGGGCCCTTGAGGGCTGGAAGCGGCGAGACAGCTCAAGACCCTTTTCCCTCAGGACCTCTTCGTCCGACCAGCATCGGGTCAAAATTGGTCCCCGAGCACCTCCTGGGGTCCATTCGGACTGGTTTTCCGAGGGAGCCCAGCCGTAGCGAAGACAAACCACCCATGAACACCTAGAAAACCCCGAACCAAAGACGACGCCGTCGTCGTCGTCGGAATCACAGCGTTTTCTCAGGACGCTGCTTCTTCAAAATGGCTCGTTACAATCGCATGAAGCAATGGTCCCCGAGCCCCCAAAACCGTGAAACAAATCCTAGCGAAGAGCCCAACCATATGCAGTTGGTTACCGCGGTTGTGAACATCCTCTTTGGTGGAGCCTGTTCGGGAACCACGAAGCGTGTGAGCGGGTGTGCCAGAACGTGTTCGGCTTTGCCAAGTGAGCGTAGCCACTGGGGCCTTCGGTGGAGCTCTGTAGGGCCACGAAGCGTGTGAAGGGTGTGTGTGTGTGTGTGTGCCGAAGCGGGGTCGACGTTGCCATGAGAACGCAGCCACTGGGGCCTTCGGTGGAGCTCCCTGTGGGGCCAGGAAGCGATTGAGGGGTGTGCCGGATCGTGGGCGACGGTGCCACGCGAACGCAGCAACTGCGGCCTTTGGAGGAGCTGCCTCTGGGGCCACGAAGCGTGTGAGGGGTGTGTGCCGAAACGGGGGCGACGGCGCCATGCAAACGCAGCCACTGGGGCCTTCGGTGGAGCTCCCTGTGGGGCCACGAATCGTGTTAGGGGTGTGTCTGTGTGTGTGTGTGTGTGTGTGCCGAAACGGGGGCGACAGTGCCATGCGAACGCAGCCACTGGGGCCTGATGGAGCTCCCTGTGGGGCCACGCAGCGTGTGAGGGGTGTGTCTGAACGAGATCGGCTGTGTCAGGCAAAAGCAACCACCGGGGCCATCGGTGGAGCTCCCTGTGGGGCCACGAAGCGTGCGAGGGGTGTGTGTGTGTGTGCCGAAACGGGGACGACGGCGCCATGCGAACGCAGCCACTGGGGCCTTCGGTGGAGCTCTGTAGGGCCACGAAGCGTGTGAAGGGTGTGTGTGTGTGTGTGTGTGTGTGTGTGTGTGTGCCGAAGCGGGGTCGACGTTGCCATGAGAACGCAGCCACTGGGGCCTTCGGTGGAGCTCCCTGTGGGGCCAGGAAACGATTGAGGGGTGTGCCGGATCGTGGGCGACGGTGCCACGCGAACGCAGCAACTGCGGCCTTTGGAAGAGCTGCCTCTGGGGCCACGAAGCGTGTGAGGGGTGTGTGCCGAAACGGGGGCGACGGCGCCATGCAAACGCAGCCACTGGGGCCTTCGGTGGAGCTCCCTGTGGGGCCACGAATCGTGTTAGGGGTGAGCCTGTGTGTGTGTGTGCCGAAACGGGGGCGACAGTGCCATGCGAACGCAGCCACTGGGGCCTGATGGAGCTCCCTGTGGGGCCACGCAGCGTGTGAGGGGTGTGTCTGAACGAGATCGGCTGTGTCAGGCAAAAGCAACCACCGGGGCCATCGGTGGAGCTCCCTGTGGGGCCACGAAGCGTGCGAGGGGTGTGTGTGTGTGTGTGTGTGCCGAAACGGGGACGACGGCGCCATGCGAACGCAGCCACTGGGGCCTTCGGTGGAGCTCCCTGTGGGGCCACGAAGCGCGTGAGGGGTGTGTCGGAACGAGTGCGGCTGTGCCAGACGAAAACAAGCACTAGGGCCCCCGGTGGAATTCCCTATGGGGCCACGAAACGTGTGAGAGGTGCGCCGAGACGGGTACGGCGGTGACATGCGAACACAGCCACTGGGGCCTTCGGTGGAGCTCCCTATGGGGCCACGAAGCGTGTGAGGGGTTTGCCGACACGGGTGCGGCGGTGTCATGCGAAAGGGAAGAGGAGGAGGAAGGAATGGGGACGCGAGGCGCGGTCCCAACACTCCAAGATGGTTGGGAAAACGTGGCTCGGTGGTGCCAAAAGTGACCCTGGCCCCAAGTGCCCCCAGTTTTGCCCCCAACTTGGCCCACAACTTTTCGCGTCGCTGTGAACCCCCGAGACCGTCCGGGCCTCGTGAGAGGTGCTTTGCAGGCCGCGGGGGTCTCCCTGGGCATCCTGGGGACACCTTTGAGCTTTGAGCGTGGCCAGGAGGGGGGACACTGGATTGTAGGGAGGACGGTGGCCTGGAATCGACGATACGTCGCCGATAGGCTCTCGGTGGGGGAAAAAACCTACGTTCCCGAGCAGGTCGGGGCGCCCGGGCCCCGAGATTGGCGAGGCATGGGGGCGATCTGGGGTCGAGGCTGCCCTCCCTGAGCTGGCGCCCCTGGGCCTTTGGCCAGGGACATCTTCCACAAGACTAGCGCGCCGACCCAAACAAATTATCAGCCAGCGTTGACTCCAAGTAGATAAAAGGGTGATGATGGTGATGGGGACGATCCTGTCTTTCACGCGCGCACACTACAGTCCATTGTGCTGTGCCGTAGTGGAGCGTGCGGTACAGCAGCTGCGTCAGGGGCCATAGGAAGTAGGGGGGGGACATAGGAATCAGGGGGGGGCAACGGACCAAGTAGTAGGGTTTGAGTTAGAACTCCTACCGTCGGGGCGTTGACCTAAAGAACCCTCAATAAGGAACGAGGCCCCTTTTCTCCATAAGTTAAACTTCGATTTCCCATCGAGAACACAAGGAAAACCCGAGGCAAGCTGTGAAACACGTAAGGAACACGGAGCCCCTCCCCAACGAAAAGGGTTCCCTCTTCAGGGCCCCGACTGTATAGGGCAAGCCTACCTGGAGAAGAACACACCACGGCGAATGCTGTCGGCCTCTGGAGGCTGCGTGCCCGCCCAGGACGAAGAGCCAGCCCCTGGGACTGCCAGGGGCCCGCGCCCCTGGGGGCGACGTAGGAAGGTTAGGGGGGGACATAGGAATTAGGGCGGGCAGCGGACCAAGCAGTAGGGTTTGAGGTAGAACTCCTATGGGGCAAGCCTGTTGGGAGAAGAACGCCACGGCGAATGTTGTCGGCCTCTGGAGGCCGCGTGCCCGCCCGGGGCGACGAGCCAGCCCCTGGGAGGGGTCGAGCCTGCCCGGGGCCCACGCCGCGAGCAGAGACACGCCACACCGGGGGAGAGAACAAGATAGGGCCTGCCGCGGGCCTGCCGCAGTCCGTCAAGATAGGGGGACGGGGGCCTCTCCCCAGGGCCCCTCGAGCAACGAAACGATTATCCCGGTGCGACCCTGCCTGGGAGTTGGAGCATCTAGGAAAGCAACATCTACATCTACACCGACAGCTACATTAGCATCTACACCTGCATCTACATCTACATCAACATCAACAGCGACACTCACGTCTACATCTACATCTACACCTACACCTACATCTACACCTCGAACAACGAAACAAACATCAGGACGGGATATTTTTGTTCCCCATGTTCGGTCTTCGGGGGCCCTTGCCGGGCCACGGGGCCGTCAAACAACGACTCGGGATGAACCACCGGTCCTGGGGAACGGGTCGAGGCCGTGGGGGTCGGCGCTATGAGCAAATCATGCCGTCGGGGGTCTGGGCCTGCTCCAAGTCGGTTCCCGGACTCTTCCCGGGGCTTCACTCCGGATCCGCTTGTCCCCAATCCGAAGGCCTTGACCGAACCGAACCCCGCGCCTCGAACCTGGCACCCCCTTCCTACTCGCAGGACCCAGTGCTGGGCCACCTCAGACGCGCCGAAGGGCCAGGGCCACTTGGCGGCGCGCACAAGGGGGTGGATGGAAGGGGGAGAGCGTCTTGGAAGGAGGCTGCTTCTCAGAAGGCGCCCGCCCTACATCTATAGACGAGGCCCGCGCCTTCTAAGAAGCAGGGGTGCTTCTGAGAAGCCCTCCCCCCTCCCCCCACTCCCCACTGCGCGTGGCTGGGCCACCCTCGGCAACGCCCGGGCGGGCGGGTGATTCGCAGACCCCGGCCGCCCTCTTGCCGGCCTGCAAGAGCGGGGGCGTGCGCGGCCCGACGTCGGACTCCGGCCAGGCGAAGGCCGCCTCGGCGCCCCGATCCGGAGGCTCTGCTGGCGGAGAGGGGTCAGAGCTCGAGCAGGGGCAGACCGTCCCGGCATTCAGGCATGGGCCTGCCTCGACATGTTGCCAGAACAAGAGAATGTTCGACTAGCACAAACAGTGTTCTCATGATGGGCCTGTTCCCACCATCACCACCATAAGTTGGAGGGGGTAAGGAGGTGGAGGATGAGGAGGAGTAAGAAGAAGAAGAAGACGAGGGGGAGGAGGACCCCCTCCCCCCTCCAACTTATGGTGGTGGAAAACAAGCCTATCATCTCAGAGCATGGGACCGGTGCATTACAGCAAGGCGGTCTCAGCCAAGCATGGTCTGAGACAGGTTCGTGCAGACCACAATCGGTTCTTGGAGTATTATTATTTGGTGGGCCTGCAGGCAGGTCAGGACGCGAGAGGAATCTAACCGATGAGACAAAACAGCTGAAGGGCAACATCAATCAACGTCAAATCTGGAAATCGGGCCGACTTGGCGTGCAAAAGCGGATCGGATCGGCTCCGCCAGATTGCACAATAACGCCGTCCACACAATGAGCCGCAACGGATCGTCGGAATATCGGCATTGAGTCGGATCGAGCCGGCCAGAATCGATACCGAATCGGATAGATCGCATCGAAATGGAGCCTGCAAGGCACCGGCCTCCCTGACCGCCCGCCCCCCTTGCTTCCGGGGTGAGGGGGTTCGAGCCGAGGGATCACCCCCCTGTCCAGGGGGGGCGGGGGGTTCGAACCGGCGGCGGCCCCACCCCTCCGAGCTGCAGGGAGAGGGGGGGGAGTTCGAACCAGGGGCCCCCCCACCCCCCCACGGACCTCGGCAGGCGCCGGCGCCGACGCTGGAGCCATCGGGCAGCGACGACAACGACGCCGACGCCGAGGACGACGCACGACGACGGACGACGACGACGACCACGACGACAACGATGACGACCACAGGCGAATGGCGCCAGACGACGAACGACGAACGACGAGGGCCAGGGAGAACGGACAGCGGACAACTGATGACGACTGACTACGACAGTAGATGAAGACGACGACAAGTGGATGACGACGACGACGACGCCAATGCAGACGACGACGACGGAGACCACAGACAAATGGCGCCAGACGACGAGCGACGAACGACAAGGGCAAGGGAGAACGGACAGCGCACAACGATGACGACTACGAATGTAGATGAAGACGACGACCAATCGACGACGACGAACGACGGCCATGTACGACGACGACAGACGACGACGACGACGACGACGGACGACCGACGACCGACGACCGACGACCAACGACCGACGACCGACGACCAGCGACCGTCGACCTACGACCAAGACGACAACGACGACGGGCAGTGTCCTCACAGGCGTGTCAAATCGGGCGGGCAGGACATGAAAGCAAGGCATCAAGTATGCTGCATCGTCCGGCTGGGACGCGACAGCCCCACGGCCGAGCCTGGGGTGGGTCGGATCGGGCGGGCGGGACAATGAAAGCATGGAGCCCAACATGCTGCGTCGCCCGACGGGCACACGAGAGACCCAACGGCCGGGCCTGGTCCAGAGGGCAGGCCCTCAAGGGCGGGTCGGGTCGGGCGGGAGGGACATCACAATCTGAAGTAGCGTATGCTGCATCGTCCCGCTGTCACGCGAAAGCCCCAACGGCCGGTCCTTGTCGAACGGGCCAGAACCTCACTGGCGCGTCGGGTCGGGCGCGCGTGGCATGAAAGTATGTGGTGCAGCATGCTGCATCGTCCGGCTGTCACGCGAAAGCCCCAACGGCCAGTCCTTGTCGAACGGGCCAGAACCCCACGGGCGCGTCGGGGTCGGGCGCGTGCGGCATGCAAGTAAGCAGTGCAATATGCTGCATCGTCCGGCTGTCACGCGAAAGCCCCGACGGCCGGTCCTTGTCGAACGGGCCAGAACCTCACGGGCGCGTCGGGTCGGGCACGCGTGGCATGAAAGTATGTGGTGCAGCATGCTGCATCGTCCGGCTGTCACGCGAAAGCCCCAACGGCAAGGTCCTTGTCGAACGGGCCAGAACCCCACGGGCGCGTCGGGGTCGGGCGCGCGTGGCGTATCCTCAAGTCTCGATCCTCAACCCTCGACCTTGCTCCTCCTCCTCCTCCTCCCTCCTCCTACAGTCAAATCGCTGAAGTAAGGACCACTTTGAGCTCAGGATGTCTGGTTCTCGGGCCGTTCCTGGGATCTGGGTCGGGGAACCCAGTCGTGGCCGCTACTCGCCGTGACCAGGAAGGCGCTGTTGTTCCTTGCTCCGCGTCCGCGTCCCCCACGGTGGCACGATGACTGCATCCCCCCTTTCCTGGAGGTGTGTTATGCGCAAGGGTTGAGGCATGCAAGTATGCAGTGCAGCATGCTGCATCGCCCGGCTGGCACGCGAGGGCCCTCGCGAGCGGGCCCTGCTGGAGCGGGCGGGGGGCCCGACGGGCGACGGTCGGCTCGCGCAGGCGGGACGTCAACAACGCCTCGACCCGTTGGCACACACGGGCGGCCCAGCGCTCGGGCCTCTTGGCGCGGGCGGGGCCCTGACTCAGCGCCCCTCAAACGGGGACTCCACTGACGGGTACTTCGGCCAGTGGCCCAGCGAACCCAACCCTTCCCGATGTGGGCAAAACTGCCATGCAAGAAAGATGCCCTAAAGTGGCAACTTTCGGCAAACATTCAAAGTACCCGTTAGTAAGTACCCGTTACGGTGCCGTTGAATGACGGGCGGGTCGGCGCTGCTGGGCGGGACCTGCAGGCATGGAGTACGCAAATAGGTGCTGCATCGCCCGGCTGGCGCCCGAGAGGCCCAACGCGCCGGCACTCTTCGGACGGGTCGGGCCCCTTGCGTGAAGTCGGGCGTGTCCCCCTACGGGGGGATTTTCGACGAAAAATAAAACGTACCCCCAAAATGCTCCCAAATGGTCGAAATGCTAAAGAAAAGTCCCCAGACTATTTTTTGTACTATTCTTGAATCTTTCTCCTGTAGAGGGACAGGCCCGACTCAAGACCGGCGCCCGAGAGACCCCACGCGCGGCACTCTTCAGACAGACGGGTCGGGCCCCTTGCGGGCGGGGCGGGTCGGGCGGGCCGGACGGCGAAGCATCGAAGCAACACGTGCTGCCTCGCCCGGCGGCCGCGCGAGGAGTCCCAACTTTTTGGCCGGGCCTGGCGTCGAGCGGGCGGGGCCCTCGCGGGTCAGGTCGGGTGGGGGCGGGGGGGGGGCGGGACACTTCCAGGGGCCACAGGACACATAAAATGAATACACACACAAATCCCAGGACTCCCCATTTTTCTTTTTTGGGGGGGGGTTCGTCTTCCCCCCCACTTCCCATATTTTCTCATGTTCCCTGCGGGATCGACGATTCATTGTGTCTGTGTGTGTTTTTCCCCTCCTGAATGGAGCAGCGCATTCTGCATCGTCCGCTCGGCACGCGAGAGCCCCAACGGCCATGCCTCGCCGGGCGGGCCAGGCCCCTCCAGGGCGGGTCGGCTCCGGCAGGCGGGACACTGAAGTGTGGAGTGCAACGTGCTGCATCGTCCGGCTAGCCCGCGAGAGCCCCAACGAGCGGGCATGTCGTCGTCGTCGTCGTCGTCGTCGTCGTCGTCGTCGTCGTCATCGTCGTCGCTGCCCGACGGCGCCGGCACCTGCCCCGGCCCTCGCCGTCGTCGATCGCAGGGAGCTGGGGCCCAGCTCGAACCCCCTACTGCAGTTCGGGGGGGGCGTCCTCCCTCGGCTCGAACTCCGCCCCCCTTTGAGGTAGGAGAGGGGCGGCCCTCGGGCTCCCCACAGTTCGAACACCCGCCCTCCTCCAATGGAAGGGGGGGGGAAGGCTCCCCCCATCCCTCCTCCATGGAGGGGTGGGTGGGTGAAGGGGGGCCAGTTCTCCTCCCCCCCTTTGCAGTTCGGGTGGGGGGGGCTCCTCCCTGGTTCGAACCCCTCCCTTGCAATTCAGGCGGGGGCCCCCCCCCCAGTTCGAACACCCGCCCCTCCTTCCCAGCGTCCACAGAACGCTTGCTTTCGGAGGTATCGACTCTTTCCCCAGGACGCGACGCGACGAGTCTACGGACGACGGCGCCTGCTGCTTGGCACACCCGAGATGGGTACAGAAACGATGGGTAGTATGCCCAACAACGAATGTTGTAGTCCAACGTTGGTGGCAAGGCCAACAGAAAATCCGGTTCAAATGAGCCAGGACAGCTGCCGACTTCCGCCACCAGTCTTGCAGTCCCCATTTCTGTCCTCCCGAGCGGTCATCTGCGCGCCCTTCCTCGTGACCTGGCACCTGTATCCACGAACTGAACCTGCCAACTCCGACCACGCCCTCCCGTTTCCTCGTCGGCATCCCGCGGCATGTTCCTCCCCGCTTTGATTTCGCGAACGCTTGCTCTTGTGACCTGCGGGCTTGGGCTCTTGACCAAAACGAGCGCGGCATGTGGTGAGCCCGGCCATCTTCGCGCTGCCAGAGAGGTGGAGCCGTGCAAGGCCACGACGCGCTGCTGAGAGAGTCGGAGAAAAACCCGTCCTCCGACGGCGCACCCTGGGGATCCCGACCTTTTCCGGGGGGCCGGCTTCTCTTCCCGATCCATCTTTAGTCGGCTCCGGGGCTGGAAAACAACGGCCACTGCGAATAATGTGGCGTCGCTCAAACCTGAACCGTGAGATCCGATGTAATCCGAAAGTGCAACATCGTGACACATCGCGACCGAAGGCCTAGACCCCATCTCTCTGCTCCGTGCTGCGAACCGGATCGATCTGCGAGGGCCCTGGGACCCGGAGCTCGGCCAGAACGCCTGGCTCAACAAAAGTTGAGACGCCAGGCTATCACGGGCTCCGCCCCCGCCTCCCGACCGCGGCCGACGACCTCCCCCCGCGGGGCCTCCCCGGCACCGCCAGCGCGCCCGGGCAGCCGCGCCAGGAGGAAGCCTGCGAGCGCCAGCCGCTCCATGGCGCGGGCGCCACCGCGGCCCGGTCGCCGCCGGCCCCCGACGGCGCGGCCGCGGGGCTGCGGGCGGCGAGGGAGGGCGGGGAGGGGGTCCCCCGCGAGAGCTCCGGACGGGCTCCAAGGGACGCGCAGAGGCCCTCCGCGCGGCAGGCGCCGTGCGGCGGCGGCAGCCGCCGTGGCCTCGGCGGCCGCCGCATCGGCACACGTCGCGCGGGAGGTGGTCGAGGGGAGGCTTCGAGCGAGAGCGCGTATTATTTCGGCGCGCACTCCTACATCGACCTCGCACCGTCGGGGCGGGGCCTGCTCTCTTGTCACCTGCAGCCTCCCGAGGCCCTCGTCGGGGGGCCACAGGGCCGCCAAGAGAGCGGCCAGGGAGGGGAGAACGACGGCCCCCGGGGAGGGCTGCAGATTTGCGGGGGCTCCCAGGGGGCGCGCCACGCTCTGGCAGCCAGCGGCCGCGGTGCGGGAGGCACGCGCGACAGCAGCGAGCACGCGGCGAGCCTCGCCACCCCCTCCCCCGCGGCGCACTCGCTGGGAGGGGCCTGGTGCTCCCGGCGTCTCGGCCGCTGGGTTGGATAGGCATCCAGGCACCTGCACCTGCTCCTCCTCCTCCTCCTTCTCCTCCTCCTCCTCTTCCTCCTCCTCCTCCTCCTCCTCCTCCTCCTCCTGCGTGCATCCCCTTCCGCATGAACAACTCCTCCCTGTCGCACCACCAGACTTGTCGTCAAAGCGAGCCGGGCATTTCGCCCAGGGCCTTCCGCACCGTTTCCGGATTTGAAGCTTGACATTGCCAGCACTTGCACGGATGGAAGGCGGGGCGTTTTCAACATGGGGCTCTCGCCCTGGCGTCGCGCACACCCGTCTTAACCACAATCAGATACACGGATGGAGGACGGGTCCGTTTCAAAATGGAGCCTTCGCCTTGGCACCGCGCACACTCGTTTTCAGCACATCAAATAGCAGTTGCACGGATGGGAGGCATGCCGTTTTCAAAATTGGCGCATCAGGCGTGCCTGGCACGCTTGGGCCCGAGGGGCGCCTGGCGCGCCTGGTACGCGTGGCGCGCCTGGCACGCGTGGCGCACCTCGCGCTGGCGTCGCGCACCTGGGGTCAGCATTGGTTCCCAGTAATTCTTCATCCATGGAACATCGATGAACATGCTGATGCTCAGGTACTACTTCTGTGTTGGGACGGTGGGTGGGGGTGAGCCAATCAGTCTGCGCCTGGGGGGGGATAGCTTGATCACTGTTCCCTAATAATAAACACCTCCTCCACAAGGCGACTGGCAGCCAACCAGGACCAATGATAACCCCCCCCACAAATCCGTGGGCCCCGCGAACACGTGTTTTTGACCACGACGGCGCCTACTTTGCGCATGGCCACCACGCCTGTCAACGAAAACAATACAACATGCCCTTCGAAGCTAAATCTGGATCGTGCGCGGGCATAAAAAGACCGCGGGGAGGCTGGCTTATTGCCCGCAGTGCGCACGCCCACCACGCACCCTGATGGCCTCTCTGCCGCGTGTGCGCACCGGTTTTCGACTAAAATGGTCGGGGCCGACATGTTTCCCGACGTGAGCTGCCACGTGCGCGGGCGCACATGGCACATGCCGCGCCTTCTCAAGACGTGGCGCATCTGGCGCGGCTGGACAATTCGGCACGCATGGCGCACGCGTGGAACACGTGGCGAATCTGGCACGCGAGGCGTGCCTGGCACGCTTGGGCCCCAAGGGTACCTGGCGCACCTGGAGCGCCTGACACGCCTGCGAACCTCGCCACAGGGTCGCGCACATGGGGCTTCCATTGGTTCCCAAGAGTTGTCCATTCATAGACGCCCGCTGAACATGTTGAACGTCGGGTGTTACGTATGCGGTGCGAAGGCGGATGGGAGTGAACGGGACAGCTTGCGGGCGGGGTGGGTGTCTTGACCCCTCGCCCTACTCCCTTCCCTAGGTCTGGGGAGCGGGCGGGGTTGCGAGTCGTTTGAAAGCCCAAATCCCTAGATGGCCCCAAGAGGGCCCCAGATAGCCTAAGATGGCCTGCGGCATCGCACACTATCGCCCAAGATGGCTCGAGGTCGCCTCCAATACGCCTCCGAGAGGCTCCAATGCCACATCAAGACGGCTCGAATTGGCCTCGGACCCTCCCGCGGATGCCCCCGAGAGCGCAAAATCCAACGAATCGGCAGCAAATCCTCCGACCCCTGTGGGGGTCTCCAGGCGCGTGAGATTCTGTTCCCCCCATATAGCCCCCCCGCCGGATTCAGGATTGCGCGTTGGTGTGTGTGTGTGTGTGTGTGTGTGTGTGTGTGCGTGTGGTGTAGGCAAAGTGTGGGGTGGTGGGGGGGGGGGGCAATCGAAACCGATGTGGTATGTTCGGTCGTGCAGTATACTACACCTGAGGCGTTTACCAATACCCCATGACTTATCCACGCAGTAGGTGCGAGCGGGTAGATGTGACAAATAAATCATGGGATGAGAGAGTGCATCTTCGAAATATCTGGAAGGTCGGGCCCCGAGCTCGGGGTGGTCAAATAATCTGGAATATAGTGAGCGCTGCTTGAGCCAAGTGGCGGCGCACGCAAGCGTGTCGCTTGAATGCTCGTCTTTGACCTCCGTTCAAAGTCAAGAGGGGGGAATCGACCGACGGGCCGCGTCGGGCGACATTGCGCATGGAACGGAGCTGCACTTACACGGGCGCAGCGGGCGCCCTCCTCGCTCCAGCAAGGGAACGAGTCCACCCAACAATAAGTGAACATGTAACATATATGGTGCCAGAAAGGATGCTCAGACACCGTCTTCCTGAACAAAGAACTAACCTGCCTGCGAACTGGCCGGGGTTCAAAGTGAGGCCGGACAGCTGAAACAACAACAACATCCAGTGTCTGGGCAGGAATAAACACGCGGCCACGCGGGCCTGCGCGCGCCTCAACCGCCAGCTCTCCGTGAGCCAAGCTCATCTGTGGCTGTCTGGTTGACCCTGCGCGGTATGTGCCGCTGTACCTCTTACTTGAATAACTGATTGCCCGCCGTTGCGTGTAGGAGAAACTCACGATTACCATGCCATTTGGTATATCGGCCGTCGTGCCACGCGCATCGCACCGCTGAGCGCCATGCCTCTCTTTATCACGCGTCGAAGGCGGCGCGTTCAGCGGGCTTCTTGAGACGCGGAGACAGACTCGGCATGAAATGCACGTGCCGTCTTGATGCGTTGACCGCATTTTCTAACATGTTTTTGAATTGCTTCGGAATAAGGTGTAACTCGTGCAGCGTGACGATGGCTAAGTCGCAGCAGTCCTCCAATTGATGGGCTGCTGCAAGGTCTCAACTGAACAGCGGCGCGACTTGCAGTGCGCATCAGGTGGGCGACCGCCCTTCCGCTCGGCGTGCGCCTGCGCTGTCGTAGGCTAGCGCCTCGAATGCCGTGCCCCCTGCCTTCGTCGTCGGCATCGCCATGGGGGCGACGGTAGCAAAAGTCGCTGTGGGTCCACCCCTCCTGTCGGAGCCATTGCTTGGAGCGATTTTTTTGGGGCCTTGGTGCTCTCGCGTTGCGACGTTGAGTCGTTGCGCTTGCATGATGATCGGCTCTTGGTCGCGCTGTAGAGAGACCGCGTCTGCCATCGATCGCGCTCAAATGATCCAGACGCGCGCCAATGCGCCGGGTGACCTGACGGGCGCATCCGACACTATTTTCGCAGCCTTTTTTGCCGCTTCTGCATCAATCGACTCTGGGTGTTGTGCGGGGCGAAGTTGTTCAATGTACTCATCTGTGTCGAGCTGGGCGTGGCCGCCCTCGGTCGCGGCACTTCGCGCGCCGCGGTTTCCGTGGCGCGTTCGCTGCACTGGCGCGCGCCGAAAGGACGTTCTACGTAATTGGCGTCCTCGACTCCTGCCATGCGCATGTCTTCTATGGCTGTGGAAGTCTGGGCTCGCTTCAAACTCCTGGTCGTGGGAAGTAGTTTTGAAACCGAGGCCTCGCGTGGTGCTCCTGAGTTTAAGCGGGGGCGCCCTCGGGGCGCTCTGAGTGTCCGTTTCTGGATTTGGGCTCTGCGAGCAGCGGCGCGATTCGTCGTGCGACGCAATGCGCGGCAACGTTCATAGCGCCGAAGCCGAGCCGGATTGTTGCGCGAAACATACCGCGCGTTCCCTCTCGCCAGCAACTGCAGATAATTCGCTATAAGTCAGGCCCTTCAAGAAAACCCTATCCATATCCATGGGTGCAAGTATCCAGGACTTGTTTGCAAGCGGGCGCCTGGCTGCACCTCAAGAGAATGTCTCATCATCGTCGGCGAAAATCGGGGAGTAGTTTGATTGTGCGTTCCATTTCGCCGTTTCCGTTCTGCGCGAATTTCAGTGTGGAGTCACATTTCGATTGCTTAATTTGGGATTCATGTGTCATTTCCCTCAAAAATAATACGTGTTGTCAAGCCTGATGTGAAGTTGCACGTGTGAGTCTTCGCGCAGTGACAGGGTCTGCCTGAATCTCAGCCTTCGCGAGGAGGTCGTCTTCCGTTGCGACGGCGGCTCCCGTGGATGCGGCGGGCACGTGCGCCCAGATCGTAGTTATGTGGACATGGTTGTATTGTTTGTGCTGTTGCCCCGTCGGTGCGACCCTTGACGCGTCTGCTGTAAAGCAGAGCTCAACATGCTGGCTACGCTGGCCAGGTCTCGCCATAGCCACTATGCATGGCGGCGAGATACGTCTCCTCAAAATCGCGCTGGAGGTTGGCCGGTTTCTGCAAGTTGCCTTGCTCACTGGCCACAATCACCGGCGCGCTGTTTTCGGTGGTCATCTCACGTGGCACAGTATATGTGGATTCGGGTCCTCCATGAACTCCTTTTCTTCCTGTAGTTCTACGTGCCATGCCTCTCAGGTACAGCTTAAAGAGCAACCCCCGCTTCTCGTGGATTGTAGGGGGTCGGCCGTCGTCGGCAGCAGGAAAAACCTTTTGTCGCTCCTCCTGAGTGTGTCCGCTCGATGGTGGCGCGCCCGCCAGGTCCTCGAACTTGGCTTGGCCATTGTCGAAACTTGCCATGGGTTTTGAGGACTCGAAGCGCTGG